TGTGTGCCCCTTGCTGGAGCGGGATCACCGAGTCATTTAGGCTGGAAAAGCCCTCCAAGGCCACCAAGTCCAACCCTTCATTGTCACCACTAACCCACATCCCCAAGTGCCGCATCCACAGCTTTTTTTTTTCGAACATTCCAGGGATGGGGACTCCACCATTCCCTGGGCAGCCCCTTCCAGTGCCTGACCACCCTTTCCATGAAGGAATTCCTCGAGGCCGTTCCCTCTGGTCCCGTCCCTCATTCCCCGGGAGCAGATCCCGACCCTCTGCTGACCCCCCCGCCCCCCATTCCCGGCTGCAGGAGCGTCGGGATGCGGAGGATGCTGGAATGCATAATACAGCACCAGGCAGCTCAATAATTCATCTGCCACCCAAGGAACAACCGCCTTGCTCCTCTCCCTCTCATCCAGGCCCTGCTCTCATCCAGCCTCCCAATATTCCTGCCCCAAGGTGCTGTGGTGTTCCCTCGGGAATCCTCGGTGCCTGGATGGTTTGGGATGGCAGGGGGGGTGTTCCAAACCAAGCTTAAACCTCCTTGGGAAGGCTGGGATTAATGATGGATGAGCTGCACCAGGGCTGCCGTGTCCCCGTATCCCCATGTCCTGTCGTGTCCTCGTGTCCTCATGTCCTGCCTTGTCCCCATGCCCCACCTTGTCCCCATGTCCTGCCATGTCCCAACACCCCTCCCTGGCCCCTCGGCATCCCGGGATCGGGTCCCTGGAGCCTCCCAGGGTGATTTTAAAGCGCTGTGAAAGTTGGGGGGGGGGTTGCTGCCTAAGTGCAAAGTGCTGTAGGAGGGGGGGAGGGGGCGGCGTGAGGTGATTTATTATTTATCCCCCACAGATGTCCTTAACTTTTGTCACTTTGAGCCGGGGCCCGGCGCCTGGAGCGGCTGATCCGAAGTGACAGGGCTTCCAGCTCCTTTGGAAGGGACTAGCAGGGACTTGACAGGAGTCCAGCTTTGTTCCCTTCCCGGCCCCGCTGCTCCCCAGGGAGGGGACGCAGGAGCCGCTGCCTCGGGGATCCAAATCAGCCCCAGATCGCCCTAAATCAGGCCGTGCTCGGTGCTCCAGTGTCCAGGGGGCTTGGCAGCTTCTCCTGCCCCCATGGATTGCCCCTTCCCAAAGGCCTGGGCACACCCTTGTGTTGTTTTTTCCTGGTTGTCAGAGTTGGGGTCTGTTGTGGATGAATCCCAGCAGGCATAGAACTGCCCCAGAGCTTGTGCCACAAACAGTCCAGGAGGGGGTTCTTTTGGGAGGCAAAACATCCCAGAGCAGGAGGGTTTGTTTGGGAGGGAGGGAGGGAGGCTGTGGGGGTGACTGGGAGGTGGCACTGACAGATCCCCTGGTCCGACCTGTTCTGGCATCCTCGTTCCGTGTTTGTCTCCCGTGCCCGTGTCACGCTCCAGCTCCACAGGGCCCTCCTTGTGCTCCTCTGACGGAGAGGAAACATCTCAGCACAATGCTTGGCACAGCTGCAGGAAAACAAGGCTCAGAATTCCAGCACCTCGCTCGTGCCGGGATCGCGCGTGCCCGGCACCGCCAGCCCTGGCCTGGGACACGGAGCAGCCCCTTCCCTGCTGCCTCCCTGCTGCTCTGCCTGGCCCAGCCGGGCATCAGACCCACCATCCCACCCCTGGGGGGAGCAGGGTCCTGTCCTGGCTGTGCAGGTTGGGATCTGTGCCCTCAGCTCCCGAGGTTTTGTCTTCCCTGCACAGGGAAGGGTGAGGTGATCCTGGGGACTGCTCCTGAAACATCCTGAGGCCCCTTTCCCTGCTTCCATGACATCTTTGTGTGGGGTTTGGGGCCCCTTTTTCCTCCTGTCACAGCCTTTCCATGGGGTTTGCAGCCCCTTTTCCTGCTTCCACGGTATCTCCATGAGGTTTGGGGTCCCTTTTCCTTCCATCACAGCATCTCCATGGGGTTTGCAGCCCCTTTTTCTGCTTCCATGGCATCTCCATGGGGTTTGTGGCCCCCTTTTCCTTCTGCCATGGCATATCTGTGAGGTTTGGGGCTCCTTTTTCTGCTGTCACAGCCTTAAAGCCCATCCAGTCCCACCCCCTGCCATGGGCTGGGACACCTCCCACTATCCCAGGTTGCTCCAACCTGGCCTTGGACACTTCCAGGGATGGGGCAGCCACAGCTTCTCTGGGCTACCTGTGCCAGGGCCTCCCCACCTTCACAGGGAGGAATTTATTCCCAATATCTGATGTCCATAGGATTATTTGCCCCCAGGGGGTGGCAGGAGGGGTGTCTGAGTGTCCCCGGTGTCCCCCCGCAGGTGACGCTGCCGCGGCCGACGTTCCCGGTGCCGATCCCGACATTCCCGGTGCCGATCCCGGAGGATGAACAAGCCCACGGACCTGCAGCACGACCTGGAACGCAGCCTGCCAGCCATCGCCTCCATCAGCTCCTCCCTCTCCCAGAGCCAGGGCTTCTCCCCCTACTTCTTGTCCCCAGAGAAGAGGAAGGTCATCTCGGATGTGAGGAGGACCTTCTGCCTCTTCGTCACCTTCGACCTGCTCTTCATCTCCCTGCTCTGGATCATCGAGCTCAATGTGAGTTGGAGGAAGCAAAACCCGGGAATCTTTGCCCTGTTTAGGCTCCCTCAGTTAATTGCTCTGTCCCCGGCACTCCTGGGACCAATCTTTGTTTGCTCTTCCCAGCGCTGGCTGTTCCTGAGTGTAAACTAAAGTCCAGCTCGTTTCCTGCCCTGGGCCCTGTGGGGGCTGTCCAGGGTCGTTAACACCGTCCCTGTGACGTTGTGTTGTGTTGTAAGGACATCCAGGGCTCCTGGAATCACCAGGTTGAGCCAAATTTCCCTGCTGCTCCCCTGACTTTAAGCAAAGCTGCTCCCTGGGCTCGCTGCTGTCGTGTTCTCAGAGCAGGGGAGGATCCTCGAGGGGCTTTGATCCCAAAATACTGCTGCTAATCTCAGCTTTGGAAAGCTGGAGGTGCTGTTCCACCTCCCAGGGGACTGTAACACGAGGGGTTTGGTCCCCTCTGACTGTCACAAACTGCTGCCTTTTGCTCTGTGTTGCAACCACCGGGAAAATCCAGTTTATTTACCCCAGTCCCACTGGGCCCAGGTCCCTCCCTGGGCTGTATTTTGTTTTTATTTTCCCTGGACCGGTCCTGACTGGTTTCAGGCACTTCATGTCCTTCCCTGGAAGAGATGATCTGATAGACCCTGGGCTCTGGCCTTGGTTTATCAGCACTGGATCCTGCTCACTTTTACAGCCCTTATCTCTGCCCTTCTTATCTCTGGACGTCTGCACTTAACAGATTGTCCTGGCAGCAGCTCCTCACCCTGCCCTGGGAGCCCCAGGAGACCCCTGCCCTTCATCCCCTTAGGAAAAACCATCTCCCAGCCAGCATTCCAGCGATGCCAGCGGTGTCCAGCACGCCCAGTTTGGACCCCGGCCTCCTGCTCCTGTCCCAGTTCTCCCAGGGGGAGGTGCTGCCTCCAAACCAGCAATTCCAGCCCCGGGGAGATAATCCTGGCTCGGTCACCAGGGTGATGCCGAGCGTGGGTCGTTCAGGTAGCCATTAATGAGTGACTAACTGCTGATATTTGGGCCCCGAGCCGAGATGCTGCATATTTAAAGCTATTAGAGCAGCTTATTTGCCTGATTATGAAGAGCAACGATTTGGTATCATGACTAATGGGCCTTTTTTTTCTTCCCTTTTTGTTATCCCAACGGTTTCCTCGGCTCCGAGATAAGCTGAGCAAATTGCCCCTCGTTAAGAGCAAACTGTAATTCTGCAGAGACAAAGAGATGCCTCGGGTCGTTTGTCTGCCTTGTCCACAGCCTGTGTTTGAGCTGAAAACAGCCCCCAAAAGCCAACACCCAGAGCTTTCCCTGGGTCTCATCCCTCCTGGAGCATCCCGTGGTGTGGGAAGAGGCTCTTGGTGGCAAAGCTGGCACAAGTCCCGTGGCCACAGACCAGCTGGAGGAACAGCCCAGCGCTGCTTTGCCCCCTCTCCTTGCCCCCCTCTCCCTGGATTTTAACCCCCAGCCCTTGTCCAGAGGGATCCCTTCCCAGTGGCTCCTCTCCTGCCCTTGGAGGGTGCCAGGACACCTCCTGCCAAGGGCTGGCCCGGGATCCACCACCTCGTTCCTCCTCACAGCCCATCCAAGAGCTCCTCACGTCCAGCCCCTCCCAGCCAGCTGGGCCCAGCTCCTACCAACAGCCTGAAGGTGCAGCCCTTGTCCCAATCTCCTCACAAACAGCCATCCCAGCTCCCAGGATTTGTGGTGCCAGGGCTGTCAGAGCCGGGATTATCTCGGGGTGAGGTGGGAATGCTCCTCTCTGAGCCTTTTCCCTGAATCCCAGAGGGTGGTTTTGCCTTTTCCAGGTTCCCTCTGTGCCCGTGGCTGAGCATCCTCCTCCTCCTCCCTCTTCCCTTTGCCAGCACGTTTGAACCCTCTGGTTCCCTCCTTCCATCACGTTTCCTGGAGTGCTGCTGTGAGCTGTGGGAAGCTGTGGCTGGGAAGGAGGGAGAGGGGACCCCTCAGAGGGTCCTTAAACCCCCCCCAGGTCCTGGGTGACCCCGAGAGCCCTGGCAGGGAGATGTTCTGATGGCTCAGTGCGTTACCGAAGGTGCTGCAGAAGCATTTTCCTGTGGTTTTCCATTTTTTCCACGTCTCCTCCCGTTCCTCTGAAGTCTGTCACCTGGAAGCAGTGGGAGGTGCCCATCCAGGGCCTTCAGGATCTGGTGGCTCTGGCTGTGCTGAGCCAGAGGAGCGGATTTGGGTGTTGGAAATCAGCACACGGAGGTGTTTAATGTCCCTGCCTGCCCAACCCACGCTCCTCAGTGTGAATCCCAGGGGGAAATGTGCTGTGGGATCCTCCCTGCTCCTGTGCTGGGCAGCATTTGTGTTCCAGGTGCCTTCCTTGCCCTGGCCATAACCCCAGGCACTGCTTGGCCGGGCTCCTTCTCCCGGGAGTTCCTTATCAGTGCACTCAGCAGCTTCCTGCTTCCCTGTCTCTCCCCTCAGACCAAGGATGGCATCCAGAAGAACCTGAAGGAAGAAATCATTGATTACAAGTTCAAGAGCTCTTTCTTTGACATATTTGTGAGTATCTCAGCCTCCTGCAGGGCTCGGGGACGGGGGGACAGGGAGGGTCTGGGGTCTCCCCACAACCCAAACCTCGATTCCCAGCCGGTCACAGCCTTGACTCTGCCTGTCCCTCGGGAGCTGGCGCCTGTCCCTGCCCCCCCAGCAGCTGGCACTGGGGCAGGGGCAGTGACTGGTGTCTCTGGGGGGGTGTTGGTGCAGCTCCTGGCCCTGTTTCGGTTCGTGGTGCTGCTCCTGGCCTACGCCGTCGTCCGCCTGCGCCACTGGTGGGTCATCGCGGTAAGAGCCACTTTGGCCTCTCCTGGTTTCGTTTTCCCCTCTCCCCCTGGGCTTCACAGGGATCTGAGGAGCTTGTTTATTTATCTGAGCCACGTCAATTCATGTTCCAGGTCACCACACTGGTCTCCAGTGCCTTCCTGATTGTGAAGGTCATCCTCTCTGAGGTTGGTTTCCCTGCGCTCCCTTTGTGGTTCCTTGATGCTGGTTGTTGTTTTCTTTTCTTAATCCAATTTGGGTAATTCCCTGTGTTTTCCTCCACACAGCTTCTGACCAAAGGGGCTTTTGGCTACTTGCTTCCCATCGTCTCGTTTGTCATTGCCTGGCTGGAGACCTGGTTCCTGGATTTTAAAGTCCTCACTCAGGAAGCAGAAGAGGAGCGATGTGAGTACCTCGCTCCTCCCTGGTAGGGGTTGGATGAAAGCACCAGGCCTGGGGTTGCTGCTGCTTTGGCAGCACCTTTTTATCTGACATTTCTGGAGAAGGCATCTCCAGGCTGGCTGGGATGGGAAGTGCCTGACTCAGTTCTGCTAATGGTGTACGAGTCCCTTCAGGGGAAGAAAATACCAGATTATAAAAAGCATCTTTTAATTGAGGGGAGAAAAATGTGCCAGATTCCCCAGTGTCTGGATCCTCTGCATGGGAGAAAGTGTTGGGAAGCAGTGAGGCAAATGCCAGGCAGAGTGTTGGACTCCCTGTCCCTGATCCCTGTGCTTGGATCTGTCTGGAGACCTTTGCAGGGGGGATTGCTGCAGTTATGGGGCACTGTGTGAGTTATGGGGTGTGACATTCCACAGCCTGTGGTCTCTGAGGTCACCCTGAGCACAGACTGAGCCTGACCTAATGCTTTCCACGTCACCCTGCAACTCCCAGGGTCCTTCCAGGAAGTGGGTGCTCATCCTGGACTGGAATAGCTGCCCATTCCTGCAGCAGCACCAGGATTTGTCCCTCTTCCAGGCCTCACTGGCTGGGAAGTGGCACTGAACGAGGGGGCATTTGTCAGGCAGGGCTGGATCAGAAATGCTCTGACTGACTGGAAAGCACCAGAGGATGTTTGGGTCTTGCAAGGAGGCTTTAAGATGAAAAATGATCAAGTGTTTAATGCCTCTATTGGATTAGGCTCAGGTTCCAAATTGCTTCCAGGGGAAGCTCTTATTTAATTAGATGCTTAATCGCCTTTGGATTATTTGACAGGCAGAGGAGCCCATTGATCTCCGGGCAGATAAAACGTCTCAGACAAAAGATGAGGGAACAGGAGCTGCAAAGCTCGTGGGCTGGCTGGTGTCAGTGGGAAAACTCATGGGAAAATGTGGGAAACGAGTGGCTGGGAGGGTGTTGGGGCAGGGCTGGGACCCCTGGGTGGGGATGCCAGTGTGTAATCCCTGTGCTCCTGTTCCCAGGGTACCTGGCAGCCCAGGCTGCGGCCTCACGGCCCCTGCTCTACCCCCGGGCCCTCTCTGAGGGGCAGTTCTACTCCCCCCCTGAATCCTTTGCAGGTAAGAAGTGCTGTTCTCCTCCCCTGAGCCCTCCCCTCCCTTCCCAGCTCATCCTCACGACATTCCTCACCTCCACCATCCCTCCCCTGAGCCTCCAAGGGCTGACACTGCCAAACAGGGACCCCTCTCCTCGCCCTGCCCCTGTACCTGGGCAGGGCTGGCACTGCCACACTGTCCTTGTGCCACCTTTTTGTCGGAGCCACCCCGGGCCCCACGTGCCAGGACGCAGCTCCGTGGGAAACTGGAGCCTTGTGTGGGCTTGGGATTCAATCCTCTGAGCTGTGTGCTTGGAAAAGGCTGCCTGGGGATGAGGGCACGGGGGTGGGTGGGCACAGGCAGGGGAGGAACAGGGCTGGCAGCATGTCCCTGCCCTGGGAAACTGCCCTGTGCTGGCACTGGAGCGGGGAGATGTCACCTGGAGCTGTTGTCCCGGTGTAGGTGACACCCGGGATGAGCTCAGCCCTCCAGAGCTGTTATCCTGGTGTAGGTGACACCCGGGATGAGCTCTGCCTTCCAGAGCTGTTATCCTGGTGTATCTGATACCTGGGATGAGCTCAGCCCTCCAGGGCTGTTATCCCGGTGTATCTGACACCCAGGATGAGCTCAGCCTTCCAGAGCTGAGCAGGTGTTCAGGGAGACAGGGCTGGAGTCACCCTCACTGACAGCCCTTCCTGCTGGATAAGGGACAGGGATCAGACACTGCCCCCAGGAGAAGGCCAGAGGGTTGTACCAGTGGGACCTTCCTTAACTGTGAATTAATTGGGTGTTTCCCCGCAGGGTCGGACAACGAGTCGGATGAGGAAGGCACAGGGAGAAAGCCCTTGACAGCTCAGGTAAACTGAGGCAGCACAGCCCGAGGCTGGGACTGTCCCTGTCCCTCTCCAGGCTGATGTGGGACTGTGGGAATCTCCCCAGTCCTGCTGTCCCCAATTCCGCACCCTCTGCTCTGGGGACTTGTGGCTGAGCCCCCTGTGGCCACCACAGGAAGGGTCCTCTGAGCCCCCCAGCTTCACCCCACTCCCCCAGGGCTGTGTCTTCCTCCCTGCAGCATCCCACAGGGATGTGTCCTGGCTCTGCTCCTGCCTGTCCTCCTTCCATCCCTGCTTTTTTGGTCACATTCCAGCACGGGCATCGCCTCCCTGTCCCCATGACTTGCGGGGTGGCCCTTCACCTCCCCAAACCCTGGCAGGGCACGGGCTTTGTGGCCTTTTCCAACGGTCCTGCTGCCGTTCAGCCCCCGTTGTGGCTGCTCCAGGAAGGAAGCTGCACATCCCAGAGCCCTTTGCCTGCTGGAAGCCCTCACACTGAGGCAGGAGCCGCAGCTGGTGTGTGGATCCGAGCCAGGGCGGGGAGCGTGACTTGGAGCTCCAAAATGAGGCCTCTGTGACCCAAATTAAGAGATTTCTGATCCCCTTTTCCCTGTGCCAGCCTGGAGAGTCGGGGAGGGGGGGGGAGGAAGCAGCCTTACACACACCCCCCTCAGGCCTCCTCCACGCCCAGCTAATGAAACCCTCCCTGCTTTCCCAGGAAAAGGAGTATGTCCGACAAGGCAAGGAGGCCATGGAGGTCGTGGACCAAATCCTCGCCCAGGAGGAGAACTGGAAGTTCGAGAAAAACAATGCAAGTGTGATGTGTGTGTCCCCCCCCCACCTCCCAGAGCTGGCAGAGGGCACGGATGGCTTAGCAAAAACCGGGACAAACGAGGCTTTGGAAGCCTCCTTGCGCCATGAAAAATTAACAAGCGTTACAATTACCTGATTGAATTAGGAATCTCTTCCAGTTCAGTTAAATGCAAAATCCCCTCTTATTTAATTAGACGTTTAATTGCCTTGCAGTTTGACGGGAGCAGGAGCCCAGCCCTCCTCCCTCTGGCCGGTGGTGGGTGGGCAGGGGTGGAGGGCTCACCTTTGGGGTGAGCGCTGGAATGCTGCTCCCATGGCTCCAGCTCAGCTCTTACTCCTTAGAAAGGTACCTTGGAGCCTACTGGGTGGACCCAAACTCAGGTCTTGGCCCACGTGGCAGCAGGAAGTGTGGGGTACAAACTGCTCTTCCCACCCCCAAATCCACCCTGAGGGTGTCCCCCCTTCCCCAGCACAGGGACCTGGAGTGTAAATCTGGGATGTGTCTTTGCCCACCCCAGAATTTCCTGGGGTTCCCAGAGCTCTGAAGGGTGGAGGGAAAGAGGAGGTGTCTCTGCCCCCCAAACCCAACCAGTTTTATTTTTTTCTGGGGTGGAAACACGACAGGGGAGGTGCGAGCCCTGCAAAGTGCTGTCTCATCTGGTGTTTCAAATTCCCCTGTCAAGTGATCCTTTGTCTGATGCCAAACTAGCTGGGCAGATTGTTTTCTTTTTCCAAAGGGGGATGGATTTAAATAGACTAATCAGAGTTTAACACAGGGCTAACGATGAAAGGTTTTCCTGTGCCCGTGCCCAGCCCCTGGGGGGGGGCTCAGCTCCGGTGGCACTGGCAGCGCTGGCACCGACCCCCCTCTCCTGCCCCGGTGCTGCAAAGAGAGTTTGACCTTGACGTGGGGTTTTGCAGGCTGGCACGGGGCGGATTCTTTTTCTGTCTCACCCCTGCTGCCTCTCTGGATGTTGTTTTGTTGATGGAAATTTGGGCACAGCCAACTGAAACGTGCTCGGGGCGGTTTCTGTGCCCGCTGTGGGGGACAGGGGGATGTTGGAGGGCAGAAAGGGGTCCCTGGGGGTGGCAGGAGCCTCAGGGGTTTGCCTGGCTTCACCCCAAATGGGAGCAATTCCTTTTGCTTACACAAATACAACTTTCTTATCTCTTGCACAGGACTTTGGTGATGTTGTTTACACTTTTGAAATCCCTTTCCACGGCAAGACCTTTATTTTAAAGGTAAGAACCTCCCCAGATCGATTCCTCGGCCAGCCTGGCACGGGCAAAGGGCCACAGCTCAGCTTTCAGGACAGGTCAGGGCTGCAGAACACGCTGCCTGTGCTTGAGACAGATGAACTGCACTGGGGAATCTCTCCAGGAAAACCCCTTGGCCAGCAGACAAACTCCCCAGCAAACATCCCGGGCCCCAGACTCTGCCGGGAGAATTGGGAGCAGGTGACTGCAAGACTCGCTTCCAACCCCAGCATCTCGGGCTAATCTGACCAAGGAGGCTAATTGGAACTAATTGCCAGCAAGACCAGGGCTGAGCAGGCGTCTGCTGCTGCCTGGCACCGGGAAGAGCCGCTCGGAAGTGCCTTGCTCCGTGCCCTCTCCCAAGCTGGAGAGCCTTGGCTGGGAACCACGCTCTAATGAAGCGGCGGCGCTGCCGTGGCTTCTCTTTGTTCCAGTGCATATGTTGCCTCGCTGGCAGGAGCTGCCAGTGGAGCAGCTTCTTGTGTGTGTTCACCAGGAAAAGCTGGATGGTCCCACTTTTACTGCATTAACCGTTTGCCTCCAAAGATCCCCCGGTCCCGTGGGGATGTGTGTGGGGTGGGAATGGAGGGTGGGCGTGGTGGAGCTTGGAACGGAGCTTGGAGAGTCAAAAATGCGGCTTCCCGAAGCAATGGTGCACAGGGAGCTGCTGGGATTTGGGGTGGGAGAGGAGGCAGACAGACAGAACCTTGCCCTCACGCCAGCACGGAGCTCAGTGCTCCCAAATCCTGCGGGTTTGTGCCCCCCAGTCCCTTGGGAGCACTGGGACAGGGGTGACACCCGTGGCTTTGGCTGTACACAAGCCAGGCCGCCCTCCAATATGATCCCCCTTGTCCTTTGTGTCCTGCCCTGTGTTCCTTAAAAATAATCTTCCCCAAGGGGAGCAGAGGGCCTGGCTGACTGCTCTGCCTGCGTCCTCAGGCTTTCCTGCAGTGCTCTCCCGAGCTGGTTTACCAGGAGGTGATTCTCCAGCCGGAGAAGATGATCCTGTGGAACAGAACAGTGGCAGCGTGCCAGGTGAGCGTGCTGGACAAAGATGGCTTAATCACAGGAGCTCCTTGGAGCGGAGAGCTGGAGCTTCCCAGCCCAGCACAGGCTGCTGGCAGTGCCCAGGCCGTGCTGGAGCCGAGCTGGGTCCCAGTCGCTGAGGCGTTAAATCTCCGCCGCTCATCCCAGCGCCGCGCGGCAGCCGCTGCCTGAGCCCGGCCAAGAGCCCGTGAGGTGGGCAGGGAGAGGGGCCAAGGCTGAGCCGAGCCTGCCTGTGCTCGCTGGAGCGTCTGGGCGTTGTGCTGGGGAGCTGGAGGTGACACCTGTGCCCCCCAAAAGACTCGGGAGGCAAACCCGTCACACGCCACCAGCGAACTCACCCCCCTCCGCTGCAAAGACCCTGTGGGTGCTCTGATCCCGGTGCTGGTTTGGGGGAGGGAATGTATCCCCCAGCTCTTGGCACTTGGAGGCACAGTCTGAGCGAATCTCTCTTGTTTTTATTTATCCCCTCCCCAGATCCTGCAGCGGATCGAGGACAACACGATTGTCTCGTACGACGTGGCGGCCGGAGCTGCCGGAGGGGTGGTTTCCCCAAGGTCAGTTCATCCCACTCTGTTCACGCTGAGCCCCCAAACACCCCCCAAACCACGGGCAGAGCCCTCTGAGGGCACTGGGAATGCTCTGGGCCGGCTGGGAGCTCCGGTGTCACCGCTGTGTGACCCTCCCAAGGGCGAGCAGCCCCTGAAATTTTCCTCCAGACATTCCTGGCAGGATTCTCCGAGCTCCAAACCTCAGGCGGCCGCTCGGTCGGGCTCCCACATATCAGTGCTGGCTGCGCTTTGTACCCTGTGTTGACACAGCCCTGCCACAGCCTTTCCCAGCAATCAGGGGAGCAGGATCTGCTCCCTCCACATGCCCTGTGTGTGTTCTGAGCAGGCAGTGCCCTTTCTCTGCTCAGGGATTTCGTGAACGTGCGTCGGATCGAGAGGAGAAGGGACAGGTACGTTTCCTCAGGGATATCGACCACGCACAGCCTGAAGCCTCCTCTCTCCAAGTACGTCAGGTAAGAGCCAGGGGCTCTTTTTCTCAGCTGGGATCGCTCACTTCAAACGAAGCTTTAGGGCAAAGAGCCACTTAGCTGCAAACCCTGCTGCCTTTCCTGGCAGGGCTTGCAGGAAGCCGAGCTATTTGTGGAGCCGAACCTCGCTTCCCTTGCTCGTCTCCCTTTGTTCAAGAAACTCTCTGTGCTGTCAGTGTTGCTGGGGCGTTTCCCAGCTCAGGGGAGTGGAGGTGCCCAACCAGCAGCAGCACCAGCCCCGTCCCAGTCCGCATCCTGTTTGTGCAGCAGGAATTTCGGAGGGGCAATAACAGCTGGATACACTCCCAGCCTCTCACATGCCTTGTGCTCCTCGTAAACCGAGTTTAAGACACGGAGAGAAGGTCCCGTGGGTGAAAAAAGGATGGAGCAGCTCCCAAAATCTCAGCAGGGCTTTGGCCTCTCCTGTTCTGAAGGGCCAGGCTGGTGCTGGGTCCTGGCAGGGTCGGGCTCAGCAGACAAGGACTCCTTGTTCCTGCCGGGGCCCAGCTGTGCCGCCGCGCTCCCACGTCGTTTTTCCCAATAATCTGGTTAAAGTAATTGCCATTTTATCTCAGAGCTGCCTCGCTCCATTTAAGAGCAGGGGACTTCGAGGCCTGGAAAAATCCTTTGACAAATGTACCCAGCAGAAACAGTGTGTTCTGGGGAGGGAAGGGAAGGGAAACCTGTGTTTGGGCTCTGTGTGTGTGTGCACAGCTCCCGTCTTGGGGACGGATCAAAAGGTGCCAGCAAGGATCTGGGGGCTGGAGTGACAAGATCCTTGTCCTGAGCCTGTCCTGAGCCACACAGGGCTTCCCTGGGACCTCTTGGTTGTGCCTGGCTGGGAAACCTTCCCGTGGGGAAGAGCTGGCACCGTCCAGAGGCAGAGCTGCTGCTCTGGCACCGCCGCTGCCAAGGCACCTGTGGGAAGCCTGCCCTGCCGTGCTGGCTCGTGCACCTGGAGCCAAGGAACACCTTCCCGGGCTCTCCACATCTGCTCCTGCCCCACTGGGCCCCGGCCCTGGCTGCTGGGCAGGATCCACATGGAGCATCCTGGAGTGGTACGGGATTCCAGCCAGCCCTGGCTCTGGCTGATCCTCTTGGCTCTGCTCCACAGGGGTGAGAATGGACCCGGAGGATTCATCGTCCTGAAGTGTCCCAGCAACCCCAGGGTCTGCACCTTCGTCTGGATTCTCAACACAGACCTGAAGGTAAAGCCAGCTCCTGGTCCCCAGCGCAGCTCTCCCGGGGGCTCTGGCATCCCAGGGCCCTGCTCCTGGATTCCAGCAGCCATAGGAGTGGTTCCTTATCAAACACTGCCCTGAAGGGACTCAGGTGGAGGTTAAACTACCCCAAAATCCCCCTCGTTGCCCCGGTGGGGAGGTGAGGAAGCTCTTCCTTACCTGAAATATTTCATTTAGGAGTTTCACCTCTGAGCGCAGGACTGGGGGAAGGGAGGTTTTTATCCAGTTTGGGAACAAAAAACCGTTGGCCACGGGAGTTGTGCCTGGCTGCTCCCAGGAACACTCCAAAGGGGCAATTCCCAGCTCCAACACCCCCAGTACAACCACGGTCACCCCGTATCCACCCGGGGGGAATGAGGTTTCCCAGGTCCGGAGCTTTTTGTGGAGCTGCTGCCGGTGGCCTTGCCGGTGTCCCGGACAAAAGGGTGGCCCGGGAGGGCCCGGGATGGGGCGGGAGTGGGAGCAGGAGCCGGGCCCGTTCCTGCCCCCGCGGAAGGTTGACGTGGTAACGGCGCTGCCGCAGCGGCACAAAGGCTCCATTCATCGCTGTGCTGCAGCAGCCCCAGCCCTCCCCTCCTTCCCCTCCCACGGCCCTCTCCCCTCCCCTCCCCCAGAGGCTCCTGCCTGCCTTGCCAAAGGCTTTGGGAAGGCTTTGGGAAGCGCTCCGAGCGGGGCAGTGCCCTCCCGCCCTGTTGTGCCAGTGCCCTCCCGCCCCGTTGTGCCAGGGATGTGTTTTCTCCTTCATGGATCTGGCTCCGATGCCTGTAAGGGGTTTGGGGGGGGGGTAACAAACCCCTGTGACGGGGCTTGGAAAGAGAAGAGGTTCCTTGTGCTTCCCGGGCCGGAGCCGCCTCCGCAGTGGGAGGAATTCCGGAGCGGCCGAGCTATAAATAACCCCCAACTGCTCCCAGCGCCTTCCCCAGGGGCTCTGCCAGTGCCCAGAGCCCCTCTGGAGCTGCTCGCTGCTTCCTTTGGCCCTGGAGGGGTATTTATAGCCCGTGGCTCATCCCTTCCTGCTCCGGGGGGGGGGAGGATTCCGCACGTGTGTGTGTTTGGGTCCGTGTGGGGAGGTGACTGAAATGGCCCCTGGAACAGTGGCCTCGCACTCTCCTGCCCTTTTATCAGAGAGGGAACCCTCTCCAGGGAAAAATCTGTGCTGGAACCTCCCAATCCAAAGGCAGGGGAGTGTCCTGTGCTCGTCTGACCCCCAGCATAGTTGCCCACTCATCCCTCCCTGCTCGGGACCCCCGGAGCAGCTCCTGGCCCTGCCTGGGCTCCCTTCCCCCCGCAGGGACTGGGATTATTATTTTTTTCCTGGATCTCCCATCACGGAGCCGAGGCCGAGGCGGGTGGGGGTGAGTCGTGCAGGGCTTTTTTAGGGAAAATCAAACCACGTTGCAGATCCTCCCCCGGATCTCGGAGCTCCGCGAGAGCCGCAGCTCCGCGCCGTGGTGCTCCTGGAGCATCCCTGGAGCATCCCTGGAGCATTCCTGGAGCCCCCACCTCAAACCTCACATAGGGTTCCTGCACCCCTGGAGCCCCCCCGGAGCCCCCAGCCCCAAACCTTGCTCGTGGCTCTGTGTCCCTGTCCCTGGAACCCCCTGGGATGGGACGGGATGGGGTGGGGTGGGATGGGGGCAGACCCCAGCCCCAAATCCTGCTCATGGCTTCATGTCTCTGGAACTTCTTGGAATGAAACAGGAGCAGCCCCCCAGCCCAAAACCCTCACCTGTGTCCCTGCAACACCCCTTGGGATGGGAAGGGGACCAGCCCCCAACCCAAACCTCACCCATGGCTCCTGCATCCCGGGAACTTGCCGGGGTGGGATGAGGGCAGCTCCCATTCCCAAGCTTGTGCTCGTGATTCTGTGTCCCTGGAAGGCCCTGGGGGTGGGATGGGGCCGGTCCTCAGCCCCCAGCCCCTGTGCCAGCCCCGTGTGTGTCCCTGCAGGGTCGGCTGCCGCGGTACCTGATCCACCAGAGCCTGGCTGCCACCATGTTCGAGTTCGCCTTCCACCTGCGCCAGCGCATGGCCGAGCTCTGCTCCAAGCCCTGAGGACATTCCACGGCCCTCTCTGCTCCGGAGGGGGGGGGGACAGGACCCTACACCCCCCCCAGAGAGGGGACCCCCCGCTGCCAGCGCTGGGCTGAGCCCGGGGAGGGGGCTCAGCTCCTCCTGCCCCCTCGTCGGGGCCCTGGAACCACTGACTGTTACGTGCCAAACCCCTGCCCTGCCCTCCTCTGGGGCTGGGCTGGCCCCCCCTGCCCCACACAGGGCAGGTGTGACCCCCTCCTGCCCCACACAGGGGGTGGGGGCTCAGCTGTGACCCCCAAATTCCTGTCCTTGCGCCCCAATTCCGTGAGGAAGAGGAGACGGGGGTGGAGGCTGCAGTGGGGTGAGGGCACAGCCGAGCCCCGTGCCAGCTCTGACGTCGGGGTTTAGGCACAGCCTGTGTCCCCCCACACCCCCTGTGCCCCCCGGGGCTGTGCCCCCCACCCCGGGGCACGGCTGGGACTGCACAAACCCCCTCCCTGGCGCCGGCCGAGCCCCCTCCCCCTTCCCGATCCCGCAGCTCCCGGCGCGGGATTTGCCTTAAGCAGAGACTTTGATCCTTTTTGGGGGTGTGGGGGGGGGGTTGGGGGTTGGGGGGGCGCGGGGGCGACTGCGGTTTCTCTACCTGTGAGCGCCGTGTGCTGCTCTAAAAACAGCAGCAGCAGCAGCAGCGCGGGGCCCCCCCCGCACGCGGGGGCTGCACGAAGAGAGAGGGGAGGGGGGCACCCAGAGCAACCCCCCCCCCCTCCCCCCCGGGGCTCTCTGCACCCCTCCACCCCCCCCATGGCCTGGGGATACGACCCCCACCCCGAAATCTCTGAGGGGGGAATTAAAGCCTTGCACTGTTTGCAGCTCCTCGTGCCCTTTGTCACCCGCGGGGATCGAAGCCCAGGAATGGGGTCACTCCAAATCCCTCTCCCCACCCCGGGCACAAAGGACGGGGTCTCCAGGCTCCTTTGGGTGGTGGCAGTGGCTGTGGGTGTCACTGCTCCTGGGGGTCACTGTCCCCCACCCCGTGGTGGCACCGGCAGCTCCAGGGGCGAGGAGCCTCCACGTCTGCACCGGGTGCCCCCCGTGCCCCCCAACCCTCGGTGCTTCCCTGGGGTGGGACCCCCATGGCAGGGGGAAGCCTGGTGCCCCACGTCCCCCCCTTGTCACCAGCCCTGTGCCTGTGAGCCCTGGGCTGCTGGCACCCGGCAAGCCCTATAAACAACCTGGGGGGGAACCCTATAAACAGCCTGTTTGGGGAGCCCTGCAGCCAGAACCCCCCTTGTCCTGGGGGAGGGCCCCCGATGTCCCTCTGGTGGCACAGGGCGGCAGTGGCACCACGTTGGCGGTGGCACCCCCCGCCTTCATCGACCCCCTCCGGGGTCTCGGGGGGGCAGGGAAAGGCCGGACGTGCCCTGGGCGGGGGTCAGGGGGGATCCTGCCGGTGCCATCACGTTGCTGGCAGTGGGGGGGTTACACGCCCGTGGGTGGCACACGCAGGGGTGACACGTGTCAGCGGTGCCACCCCCCCAAAAACCCCCTCCTTGGCACCGTCCCGTGCCCGCCGTGCCAGAGACACGTCCCAAAATAGCCCGAGCGGGGCCATAAAAGCGGGGCGGGTGCGGGGGGGGGGGCACTGGCACCATGGTGGGCCCCGGCGTGGTGGGGGGCTGCGGCGGGGGGCTCTCGGCCCGTCTGGGCTGCTCCGTCAGCGAGCGGGACGTGGGCAGGGGAGAGACCTTCAGCGCCGAGTGGCTGGACCTGGAGCTCAGCACCCGGCCCGAGGAGCGGTGAGGGGCACGGCCAGGGGGGCACAGGGGGGCACAGGGTGCTGGGGGTGAGGGACACCGAGGGACACGGGGTTTTTGTGGGGCGTTGGGGTTGTGGGGGGCTCCAAGGGTTCCGGAATGTGGGGTTTCTGTGGTGTTGTTGGGCTCCGAGCGTCCCAAACTAGGGGTTCCGTGGGGTCTTGGGGTTGTGGGCGGCTCCAGGGGTTGTGGTGGGGGGCTTTGGGGGGTTCCAATGGTACCAAAATATGAGGTTTCCGTGGCGTCTGGGGACTGTGGGGGGCTCCATGGGGTTCCATAGGGTCTTGGGGTTGTGGGTGGCTCCAAGGGTCCTGATAGGGCTTTGAGGGGCTCCAAGGGTCTCAAACTGTGGGGTTTCCGTGGGTTTTTTGGGGCTGTGGGAGACTCCAGGAGTCCCAAAGTGAGGTGTTTCCATAGGGTTTGGGGGCTATGGGGGGCTTCAAGGACCCTGATGGGGCCATGGGGCCGTGCAGGACACGGGGGTATCCTGGGGTCACTGCGGGATGGGGTGGGAGAAGGGGGTCTCCAGGGGTCCCGGTGGGATGGGGTGGGACATGGGGGTCTCTGAGGGTCCCCACGGGATGGGATGGGACACAGGAGTCTCCAGGTGCTCCCATGGGGTGGTGCAGGACATGGAGGGGGGGTGGTCTCCCAGCAGGATGGGGTGACCCCAACAGGCCAGAGCAGGACAGGAGGGTTCCTGTGGGGCTCTGAGATCCCTGTGCTCACCCCAACAAACCCCCCCTGCCCAGGTGGTGCCGGCGGGAGGTGGACACGGCGCGCCGGGAGTCGCTGGAGCAGCGCGGGGCCGTGCAGGTGCTGCAGCAGCGCTCGCCCTGGGGGCTGCTCCGGGTGGGGGTCCTGGGGCAACCCCTGGCCCAGCACCTCCTGCCCTACGCCCGCACCTTCCCCGTGCCCCTCTTCGCCCCCCCAGACCTCCGCGGAGCCAAGGGGGGGCTCCCCCGGACCCTCTCCCGCTCCCTCTCCCACGAGGCCCAGCGGGGCTGAGCGGGGACAGGGGACGGGGCGGGGGGGTGGGGTCGGGGTTGGGGGGACACGAGGCTGATTTTGGGGGGCTGGGGGGACCCAGAGACCTGGGTCCGCTCAGCCACCCCGAAGAGGCAGCGCAGGAGGGAGGGGGCAGGTGGGGGTGGGCTCCCCTCGGCCTGGGAGCCCACCCCGCTGAGGGCGCGGGGGGGGCCGGTCGGGACGGGGTCCCTGCGGGTCGGGGGCCTCCCGCACTTCGGGGGGCTCCCAGCAGCACCAGCGTGACTCAGTTTCCCTGGCAAAGAGACGGGAATGCGAAGATGAGGAGCGTTGAGATCCGCCCGGGGCCCAGGGGGGGCCCTGGGGGGGCTGTGGGGAGGGGCGGGGGGGTGGGCTGGGGTTGTACAAACGGTGGTATTTGTACGTCAATAAAAGGCTCAGGCTGTGCAGGAGGTGTCTTTGGGGGGGGGTTGGAGGAGGGGGGGGGGCTTAGGGGGAGAGGGACCTTCTGTGGGATGTGGGACACTGAGGCACAGCAGCTGCAGGGGCACGGGTGTCCTGCGGGGGTTGGGGGGGGGGGGTTGGGGGGGGGGGGCCCCTTGTGCTTATATAACCCCCTGTTGTCGCC